CATATAGGGAAAAGAAGCTCATGCCTTGTCGATGACGATGCAGAGGAGCTCTCCTCTTTCTGGTTCGTCTTGTTGAGACTACTGGAGCTTTACTAGGAGCGAGTTCCCTTCAATTTTCTTCAGAGGAGATGGAGACTTACGAAGAGGCCATGGAGTTCTGAAGGACATGGACATGTCTTTTTGTGTTAGAACATGACGTAGATGATTATTTATTTTTTTTCTAAAGGCCGGGGGGGAGGACCAGACTTCTTTGTTTGAAGGTTGCGGAGAGCTCCACCCTCTCTTGTCGAGCATATGCATTGCTTGAAAAGGTAAAGGAGATAGTCAGGATCTCTTTCCCTTCCTTAGAGAGAAAAGAGGTCTCTTCTTGCCGATTGAGCGGTAAAAGGAGCTCTTTTCTTTCTCGTAAAGTTGGAGGCTGCTTTGTTAAGATGGAGCTTTCTTCTTTCTCATTTAGAGAGTGACCGCCAAAAAACTTGGAGGAAGCCCGTCTTTTCTTGTCGAGGATGAGGTAGAGGACGTTTCTTTTGTGACTAAGGGAGCTCAGGAAAGCCCGCATCGTGACGAGCAGGCGAAACGAAAGGTTCTAGACCCTTCAGTGAAGGCGTTCGGAGCGACGTCGGTGGCGTGCAACCACGACATACCTGCCTTTTGTCTTCTTGTTATGCTATGTTGTTGTTAGGGTCTCCAGTATGCAATGAAAACTCATGGTTCGGACGACCCAGAACCACTGAAGTCCCAAGCCTTCGCTCGAAGCTCTAACCGAGAACATTCTAAACCTTGCTGCCGAGCCATGCCACCCTTTGGCCGAAAACCATAAACGGTGAAGAACCCCTTGAATCCCTTCAGCTATGCCAGGCTGAAAGCCAAACCTGAGATACATATGAAGACCTGGCCACTACGGCATTTGCACGCCCTTAATCCGCACAGCCCCAAACTCAAGCCTTGCCCTCTTCCCACAGAAGCCCTGGGCTCCCTTGGCGCATGGTGTGTCACGGTTTCAAGGTATCAAGAGTGATACTTAGATGTACGATGCTCACATAAACCGCACACTGCATGCCACACAGTGCGTCGCGAACCCTTCGTGCGCCCCTTCTGATTGCACTGAGTTTGAAAACAACAATTGCTTCAAGCACCATGTGGAATCACAAACTATGGAGGCACAGCTGGATCCACCCAAACGTATCGAAGCGTTCGTCAAAATGGCTTATGCTTTCCCTGACAGCGAAGTGCAACTGCTTTGGCTGATGCTGCCGGGCTTAGGACCAAGACCGAACTGCCGCCGCTCAGCACACCACCGGCGCCGGCCGTCATCACTGCCTCGGCTCAGGCACCCTGCAGTCAGGGAGTCGGGCCAACATGCTAGGCTTTGGGTCCCGTTTGCAGACATTTTGTTGCATAGCGTGAAGCTGTCCAAAGAGCAGGTGCAGACGAACAGCTGGGAGTGGTTGCTGAAAGAGGCTTTGGCTCCCGAGCATGCAAAGTACCAAGCCCAGAACCAAGCTCTGCAGAAACTTGGCAGAACCACGCAGCAGTCGGTGCTTTGGCTTGTGCACTGCCAAGCTGCCTGGTAATGCGAGGACTGAGCTCCAGGCTCTCGAAGTCCGACTGAACCAGACGATAGCCGATCTCGAAGCAGAGCGAGAAGCCCACACCCAGACGAGATCCTGCTGGGAAGAGGAGCGTGCATCCCTGGATGAGCGTCAAAAGATGCTGGACGATCAGAGGAAATCAATGGAGTCCCAAAGGCCAGAGGGAAAAGGCGTGCAAATTCGCAGTGTGCTCTATCCTGCTCTCGTCTGGCAGGCTGCAGTGGACCCAAGAGCGAGAGGCCAGACAAACGGTTAGCCCAGAAGCCAAAAGCTTCGGATCACATCTTCCCCACAGCAGCTCTCCGCTTTAGCACCTGGGTTGTACTGGTGTACCACGACGCTTTTGCCGAGATAGTAGTGCTTGTGTTTGGTGGTCCTTTGTGTTTGCGGCTCCCTGCATGTCAATATTCCTTGTATTTGCAGTGACGGTCAGAATGCCACAGTTTGGGGCGGCAGGCTCTCGAGGCTTCGCTAGCGCTGCTTAAAGCAGAGCTGCGCAGCGCAGCCACCGAGGTCGAGACGCATGGCACTCCATGCTTCGCTTCACAATGTCAACATGAACACATTCTGCTGGGAGGCGGAGTCTGAGCGCTATGCCTGGGAGGCGCACCTTGTGAACAGTCGGATTGCTATCTGATCAATCGCAGTTTTTCTGTCACACAGATCCCCGAATCTGTACAGCACATAGCATGGATCGCCAGCGTCGCAGAGGAGACCGAGAAGGAGTTGCGGGCACAGCTAGAGACGGCACGCAACGCGGCTGAATGTATGCCTTTGAAAGGCTCAAGGCACCTAGATGTGTTGAGTCTCAAGGCGCCAACGAAAGTTAACGACAGGTCTACAGGAAGCGCTACCGAAGGGGGGCGGAGCGTGGGGACTGGGACCTCAAAACCGAATCCATCATGTCTGGAAATAGGCGCCGCCTATTTTTCAACCCCTGCGAGCCTGGGCAGATCTCAGGACAAGCGCGACAGCAGAGTCGAGAAGAGGCCGAGGCCACATCTCGGTGAAGTGCAGTCAACTCTTCACTTCTTCACTACTCCTGCTATGTTCCAGTGTGCAGGATCTTTCACATCGCCTGGACCGCAGCCAGGCACTTCCCGCCTTTTGTCACGCAAACCCAAACTCTGGAAATTTGTATTTTGCCCTGAGTGGTCCTGGATGCAGCATGTGATGTGGCTCTTGTATGAAAGATCATGTGACCGTAGAGCTTCATCGCTTTCCTAAGACCATTTCCCTCAAGAGACATGTGCAATAACTTGTTAAGGGGCACGCAGGCTTGGGCACAAGTCTTAGGAGATCCAGTGTAAGTGCAAGCATGTCGGAGCCGCTGCTGGCCGCCACCCCGCTCCATGACCGCCCTGCATGGTTAGACGAAGTCGACCGGTTCTTCTCCGTCTCCAGACGCGGGAGCACACTTGCAACAGAGTTTCGGGCCGGGACTACTGCCTTCCTGGCAACCGCGAACAATTTTGTGGTAAATGCACATATTATGAGCCATGCAGGGCTGGACCCCGAGAGACAGCTCGTCAGCGGTGCGTTTGCTGCTGGACTGACTTGCATCATCTCGGGGCTGCTCAGCAATCTTCCGCTCGGGATGGTTCCATCGGTGGGACCGAATGTGTACATAGCCTACAGCTTGGTTGGACCTCACCTCTTTGAGGTCAACGAGGCACTCGGCATCTCGGCTGCCTGTGGTTTGGTGCTTGTGCTTCTTTCCCTGACACCTCTGCTGCGGATGATTTTGGGCTTAATGCCCTTGAGCATCAAATACGGTCTGCTCGTGGGCACCGGGCTCTTGACTGCATTCATCGGCTTGAAGTCTATTGGTGTCATCGTGGCAGATGAACACGGAGAGGATATCGTGGCCCTTGGGAACCTGCACAGCCTGCCTTGTTCCATCTCCATCATCTCTTTGATTTTTACCGCCTCCATGCTTTACAATGCCATCACCGGGGCTGTCCTCGTTGGCATGCTGAGTGCCACACTAGCTTCCTGGTACCTGCTCGACGACTGGCCCAACAGGTTCGTGTCCTTGCAGGGAGTCCACTTCTTTGAGCTTCACTTCGGGATGTTGGCAACTACGCAGGCGTGGGCAGAAGTTGCTTCATTGCTGCTAATGCTACTGTTCTCGCTCAGCGGTGCCATCATCGGAAGTGCCAAAATGTCCGGCCTTTTGGCCGAAGACGGGAGTGTCCGAGGGAGCACTGCTGTTTTTGTTTCCAGTGGTATTGGAACGATGTTGTCGGCATGTCTTGGGACCGCTCCGATTTTCGTGAGCATGTCTGCCGCAGCTGGCATCCGAGACGGTGGGCGCACCGGGCTTGTGTCTATTGTAATTGGCATCTATTCCCTTCTTACTGCATTCGTGCTCTCTCCTCTCGCTTCTGCGGTGCCTGAGTGTGCGGTGTCCCCCGTGTTGGTGCTCGTAGGTGTCTCCATGACTGGCGAAGCCAGGGAAATTCAATGGTGGAACATGTTGGATGCACTTCCTGCATTCCTGTGTGCCATCTTCCAGCCATTTACCTACAGCGTTTCCAACGGAATTTATGCTGGCTGCGGAATGTCCATCACCTTGTTTTTTACGACGGGAACTTTCCTGTCCTACTGCCCAACGCTGCGAACCTACGCCGGAACACCCAAAGCCCGTTTGCTGGGAGAGACTACACCCCAGCTACAAATGCAAGGATCTTCGGAGTCAATGGGCGTTTCGGATTGTGAAGTTGGCGTGATTGGTGCCCAACTTCCCATCGAAAGCCCGCTGGTGAAAGCCATGCATCACTATTGTGAGGGAGGCTCCTTTGGTCTGGACGAAGACACGAACGACCTTGATTTTCGAGCGAAGCTGATCCACCTGGGAATCTCCTCTAAATATGAGGCATTGCACTTCATCGAGGAGGCTTCAAAATTTGTTGGGCTGGACCCCGCCAAAATGATGGAGGTGGTGTCGGAGCGTCTTGAAGCTGGGAGAAACGTGGAATCCCACTACATGGGTGGAATCCCAGGCGTTGAAACAGCTCGCACGAACCAGGAACTCCTCCGACAGCACACACTGGTGCGCAGACAGTCAGAACATTGGGATCCAGTATTGGCCGGCACAAAGCAGCGCACAAGAGGCCAGAGCTTTTTCCGAAAAGGTTCTCACCGCCTTTGACACAGTAAATCACGGACCCGTTGGGCTCGCGCTGCGTTGGAGAAATTGGAGAAGTGCCAGAGAGTTCAGAGCCCGGCGGTCACAGCCTGCTAGATACCAGCGTAGACAGCTAGAAAGTTACAGGGCAGTCAGATCAGCGCTGCTACCATGTCGGACTCTGGAGACAGGACGATGTCAAAGCATTGCAGAAGCGGATGGCTGCTCTCCGAGAAGAGCATGCCGCGGTTGCCAAGGACAACAGCTGAAGCATCCTGACAGTAGTGAAATTACTGTGGACATACAGATACGTGTCCTAGCTCTTGTGAGAATCGTGCCAGTCTGCTAGTCCATACGAGATAACTTGCACAGCAAGAAACAAAGGGTTGCAGTGAAGGAGCGCGATGACTTGCTCCAACGCCTGGAAGACGAGCAAGCAGAGATGCAACTTGGTTTTGAAAACTTCGCAACAAAGAGACTCCACTCCCTACAGTGACCAGAGTGACCTCAGGATAGCGAGAGTAGCCGCGGTGGAGGAGCGGCTCTCCCAGCGCTCCAAGGCAGGCGCTCGAGTGCTACACAGGAGGGCTTGCAATCTGCGCGATCGAAATCGCCCTGTCAGGGCACTTCGAGATGACAGTTGCATGACCTGGCGAGTGCCACGGCACCAGTAATTCCGGGCTTCGTGCACGGGAACACAGAGAACAAAAGATGTTGAATTTGGGAGTCTTCTGTATCCTGTACTCGAATGGCACAGTTTTCAAGGAGGTAGAGTTGCACCTGTTGTTCCTCTGCTGAAGCTTCGGAGCCAGCCCGCGCAAGACTTGGCCGAGTGCTGCCAAGCCAGACATACTGCTCCCAGGTATGTGCCTTTAAACCAGTGGTCCACCAGCTAACCATACTCTGCAATGTAGCAACAACGTCTTTCCTGGGTGCTGGACCCCCGCCTCGGGTTTCACCGCCTTTGCAAAGTCTGGCAGCGTTTTCGACAGAAGGCGTCGCTTGAAGGCGCGAAACTCTGCGTGTGCGCGTTGAGCTTTGAAGCTTGCATGGGTTGTTAATGTTTGCCGACTAACGGCTGCATTGCTTGTCATGCGATCTTCAACATGCGAAGGCCGAAGTTACTGGTAGGAGGCAGGTCAAGACTCTTGACTCAAGAGATACTAGAGCCTGAAAAGTTAAGGCAAGCAGCAACAGCACGCATGATCGAAGGAGCCGCCGAAGCCACACACACACAGAGATTTCAGCATGATGGCATTGCGCTTCCGCCGGCTGGGTAGCATTGCGGGAATTTTGTCCAAGCCGAGGCTTGCCCCTGGATTGGCAAGATGTGGAACCAGCACAGCTGAGTTTGCTGAGCTTGAACATCGTAACTGGCAAAAGGCAGTGCGTGCCTACGACCAAGGGTGGGGGTCCTTGACTCGCCAGTGCATCCCAGATCTGTTGACAGGCGTTGGCTGTCAAAGGGGTTGTCGCCTGGTGGACGTGGCGACTGGGCCAGGGTTCGTTGCCGAGGAGGCTGCTAAGGCTGGCGCAGACGTTGTTGCGGTGGACTTTGCAAAAAACATGTTGGATCTGGCGCGAGCGCGACTAGCGAAATCGTTGGGTTCAGAGAGTGTCCAGTGCGTGGAAGCAGATGCGGCCTCCATGCCTTTTGACGCAGAGACCTTCGATGCTGTTGCGTGCAGCTTCGGTGTCCTTCACCTTCCTGAGCCAGAGGCCTTCTTCACCGAGGCTTTGCGAATTCTGCGGCCGGGTGGCCGTCTCGGCTTTACGGTTTGGGCGCCCACTCCATCCACAGAGGCGCTCGCACTAGTGCACACAGCAGTCCAGCAGCACGGAAACCCAAATGTTCCCTTGCCAGAAGCACCTCCTTTCTTCCGCTTTGCAGATGCAGCAGATACTGCTCGGACACTTTCTGCGGTGGGATTTGGGGAGATTGTGTCCAAGGAGGTTGCAATGTGCTGGGAGGTGAAGGATGCAAGGGAGACATTTGTGGCTTTCCGGGATGGCACCGGGCGCACAGCTGCACTGTTGGCGGGCCAATCCCCAGAGCAGCTACAGGCAATCGAGGCCGCCATAACTGAGGGAACAGAGGCAAAACGGAGCGGTCCCGAGCAATCTTGCCGCCTCCAGATGCCTTGCATATTGACTCTTGCCACCAAAGGCTGAGCCTGCCGATGCCTGCAGGCAGAGAGAGCATGGCATCAAGCCTTAGGTGTGACGTCCAACCTATGGGACATGATTTTTCGGCGATGCACTAGACCAAACGGAGACCTTAGAACCTGCATCTAAGACGGAACCTGCACAACACGCGATCCCAAGTTGGCCTGCGTGGCATTGCTCCTTGGCTGAGGTCTCTGCAAGAAGCTGAGACAATCATCATGAGCACCCATGTCCATCTTCCAGCAGTGTAGAGACGCCGCGTTATCAACGCATCGGGCATCACACATCACACTCCGAGTCTGACTGCTGAAGCGTTAGTACCAAACGAAAAAAAGAAGTCTGCCTCTCAGAGCCCACACTCGATTTCAATCTTCCTTGCCTCTCAGAGCCCACACTCGATTTCAATCTTCCTGCTGACTATGACAACTCTTCGAACACTTCGGATGGCCAGCAGATCCCATTGCCAAGCCTGGGGAGCAGCAGTTGATCAGAGAAGAGGTGTGCTGCCCAGACTTTTGCTTTGCTCGCGCAATGTCATGACCTGGACAAAGCACACAAGATGTATCCTGTGAAGCACAGCGGCGCCTTCGGCTGTGGGCTTGGCCGTACCCTGAGAGGTCTCAGACTGGCTGGGCCCTCGTGGGCCAGGTGCTGTGCTGACCAACGCCGCTTGGCATCGAGCGTTCCGCCCACAGAGGACCTCAACTGTCATTTTCGGGCACCCTGGAAGTTCTGATGAGGGGCATGTGGCATGTGAGCCTCCGAAGGACTGGCGAACAGTGCCGAACGCGCTGACAGCTTTGCGGCTGGTGGCGGTGCCGGGCATCCTTGCCACCTGGTACTTCAGCATCAAGTAAGGAATTGGGGAACTTTCGACAAGTTGTCATCTCGCGTGAAAATGAGGTATCTTGAGCTCCACGGTGTAACCGCTACCCTTTTCGGCGCGGCCGCTGTAACAGCAACCGCCCTCAGTATGGCACTTCCCCTGCCGCTATTTGCAGCACTGGGCAGCAAGGACTGGTTCGACGGTTTCCTCGCACGACGGTGGAACCAAAAGACCGCTTTCGGGGCCCTCCTTGATCCTCTCGCCGACACTTGCCCTGAAAGGTGGATGCTGTCAGCGGAACGCCAAGCTCAAACTGATACTACATTCACTAGATTCGGAGTCCAAAGGCCAGGCGCGGGCCCTGGAGCATCTCGCTGTCAGGACAAGCTCCTCGTCTCCTCCACCCTGGTCATCCTTGTGGAGCATGCAGCAAGCCCTGTTGCGGCTTGGTAAGTTTATCCCTTGCCAGGGCTCGGAAGCCTTGCAGCAAGTGAGGTCTCGCTGCCTGCGGCGGCGATCCTGGCACGTGAGCTCGGAGTTTCGACTCTTCGAGAATGGACCCAAGTGCACCGGCCCGAGGCCCGAGGGGCTGAAAGAATTGCGCTGTCATCGGCTCAAGAGTGCCCGGGTGAGGCTGCCAGCAGCGTTTCAGTTGCCTGGCATGGTGTCTGGTCAAAGAAAACCTTGTGTCGGGCGTCCGATCTCGCAAGAAATTTTGCATGTAGCCCATGCATCACATGGAAGAGCCATGCTATCAAGCAAAGGCACCACACAGTCGCAGTATGAAACGCTTTGCTGTAGCTTCTGTGGCTTAGGCAAGGCAAAGGCAGCAGCGCAGCTGCTCGCGCTTCAAGGTTTGCTGGCTGGCATCGCTTTGAGAGGCTTGTCTCTGACTGGCGAAAGCAAGTCCAAGCGACTGGTATCAGCACTTCAAAACCATGTTCCAACATTGCCTGAAGCATGTTTACGGTTGTAGCATTCTCAGGCGACGTCGAAACTACAACGGAGGTTGATGGTGAGTCTCAGGCTGATGCCGAGCAACTGCGCACCAAAATGTCTGTAGAGCTAGCATATATCTTTTTGCAGGCATGGGGCCCTTCGGTCTACAAAGGACAAGGGAAAAGAAAAACCGTTGCGCTCCACTGGCTCATACGATGGCACGTCTCGCAAGTTTCGCAGGAAGCCTTCTTGTGCTGTGGCTTGCTGCAGGGCTTACATTGGGCAGTGGTTTTCAGCAACGCGGCCGCAGAGGTTTTGCAACACGACAAGGCTTGAGATGTGTATGCAGGCGGAATCAAGGCTGTCCACCTGCTCATTTCAAAAGGGAGGAGAAGCCTGCTCATGTAAGGTATGCCGCTGCTTTGTCCCAGCCTTTGACTTCAAGCAGAGACATGTTTTCTTGCAGATTTCGGCAAGGGTCATGGAACTCCAATTGCCAGGATGCCGGGACGATTGCGGCAGTAGAAGTGTATCTTAGAATCTTAGAGAATCAGCCACACAGTCCCGTCCCCAGGCTTTAAGCCTCGTTCTGAGGCGCTTGTGAGCTGCACCGCCGGTGTGGAGAGCAGCTCGCAGCCGTGCAGAATGCCCAAAAACACGCACAGGACTGTCAGTTTCGCGCCCTGGAAAGTCTGCATTTGGACTCTTGGAAGTGCAAGCACTGTATTGTGTCTCGCTGCTGCCACCAGCGTATTCCCAGGTGGTACAGGTAACCGTCAGACAAGAAGCCAACGACCTGTGGAAGACAAGATTTGCGATTCAGATCTGCGCTGTCAGATGTTCTTCGTAAATCGGGTTCCTGTTCAGAGCCGGATACGGCAACACTTGCAATGGAGAACGCTGCTGGACCGATGCGCTGACGCTGACGCCATGGAGGCTTGGTGTTGCTGGAAAGGTGCACGTGGGCGAGACATGAAGGGGCGTTTTTGAGGCCTACGAAGCATCAGCTTGAGGAGGGTTTTCGTGGTGTACAGAAGAATCAGGGGTTGCCAGTCTTCAGTGCTTCCCCCCGTGTGGTTAGGCTGTGAAGCAGAGGGCTTCCAGCTTTCAGGTTCGAGTGGAGGCAGCTGCCGGTCTTCCCACGGATGCAGTCCCTCGATGCACAAGTCACCGGCACAAAGCCGATCAGGTCGAGCCGCCTTGTGCAGCTCGAGATTGGAGCGAGATTGCATAGCAATCGCATTTTACATCGCGAGTATGACGCAACCCGGGATGTTTAAGCTGAGGTGCTTTCACTGCGGCTTGGGGCCACACGAAGACAAGCTCCCTTACAGCGCCCTGTTTCAATGGCGCTGCCCTGTCACAGTGCAAGCCAGCTTCGCCTGCACGATACCATCCCAGCAAAGTCCAGCAGTACCATGGAGCCTCACTATCTTTCGGTCTGAACATCTGGAATGCTTCAGGAGCGCACTGTCGCACCCACTGCGGTTTTCAACCTTCCTGGATTCCGCAAGCATCTCGGCCTGACAGAGTGCATAAAGGTTGCACACGCGTTCTCAGACCTTTTGGATCTGCCCTGCCATTGGCCTGTCCAACTGTACGAACGATCAGTGGCTACCCAATTGACTCAGCAGCTTGTCGTTGCTTCCGCGAGCTTCCGTGGAAACTGGCTTTTTCAGATCTTGTCAAGACCGAGAAGCCGAAGGGTCACTCCCGTCACATGCTCGCCACTGCACCTGCAAGGTTTTGTTCGCATGTGCACGTTTTGAGGTGAGCCACTTCGCCTCGACGTCATGCGACCGATGTCCACAGCGCAGGTTGTTCTGCGGGCCGAGGAGACGTGGCTGTGACAGCGACGAAGATGTGGATTCTGTGAGTTCCGCGGGGCATACTGCATGCTATCAGGAGCACCGCTACACCGTGCCCCTGCCAGGTTGTCCTGTGTCATGGCTATCCAACCTCGCGATTTCAGCAGCTGTTGTCCGTTGTTTCCGCTCCTAGTCGCTTCTGTTTTGAGCAGGTTGCTTGCACATTTTCGGTCGTAGTGTCCGGGATCATACTTCCGATTCGGGATGTGACATAGCGATACATACCGGGAATGTGGATGTTTGTGCTCTTCAGGTTGCTAATTACTCGAATCCCGCTCACCTGTGACTGAGCCCGTGTCCCTTTGCCGGAGAAGAAAGAGCCGCTGATCACTGCATACTGCGGCACTAACTGACAAAACACACTGTTCCCACAGCCCTGCATGCTCGCTACACGACGACAGTCGCCAAGCCAATACACCACATGTTTGTATACAGAGATTTGCTAGCATGATCACGCCCTCTCCCCGATTATGAATTGATGCTGCTGCCCATGCTGCCTCCCCGAGTGCATGCTGATGAAACTCTCGCAGATTGAGCCATATCTGTTAACCTTTGATTCTTAACCGTTTAACATATAAAAGATATGTGTGATGTGCAATAACCTGAGTTGAACTGCACAGCAAAAAAGGATGGAGGTGCACCAACTTGTGCGATGCAACACACACTCACTAACCCACACAAAGGGGGAGGCCTAACTAAAGAAAAGAAAAGCCCATCTATACCCAAAAAACTATAGACTAGAGAGCTTGCTCAGGACGGGGCAATCCAGTTCTTGGTGAAGCCTTCCTTTGCCAAAGTTGCAGAGCGAGGTCCTCGAGCTCTGATTTGACCGCATGCACTCGGCACGTTGAAGATGACAGACGTTTGACACTTGCACTTGCAGGGCTGCATGCTGGGTGCTCCCTGAGACAGCGGCAGTAGACTAGACAACGTGCTGTCGACTCGACAGACACAAAGCATGAACACTACTTCGGGCACGACACAGGGGTCCAGAAGAAACTTGCACAAGCACCACGAGTGGGACAGCGACTCTGTTCAGGGGCTGGCGAGGGCAACCTGTACCGTCCTTCCTGGCAGTCGTTACCGATAGCTCGGACGGCTAACACTGCTAGGTTGATCGCCATAACTACATGCCACCGGTTCCCGAAACCCGACCTATGAGTAGCTTCAAGGTTTGTGCATGGTCTTGGCCATGCCATGGGTGCATGCACAGGGCTTTCAGCCTTTTTGCAGTTTTTCGCGAAAAGTTTCGATGATGAACCCTCCACAGATTTCAAAATGATGCAGGCAAATGCAGGCAATGTCAGTTGCTGAGTCCTCATCCAAGCATCATATCTCCATGAGCAGTCCATGAGGGTTGATTTTGCCGGCATCTTTCCTAAATAACTTTGCGCTGATCTGTCTTCGTGATGACGCACAGGCACTGTAGCTATCTCTTTGTTGATGCATTCTTGGCAGGTCGCGGGACCGATGCCTACAGCGCTCCCTCCTTACCAGGCTTCAAGGAGATGACAGTGACGTAAGCAGCCTAAGAGCAAATAGAGTTTTGGAAAATTGAAGGACGCAGCTGCCTCCGCGAAGGAGACCGTCAGAGTGAACCCAGTGAGCGACCAAAATGCCCTCCAACTTCTTGCCCCAGGAATATCTCGAGAGACACCATCTCCTTCAGTACATGCAGTCGCTGCTTCACGCAGTGATTCAGGCAAAGCCCAAGGCGACTGGGACGTTACTGGTGAGGGAAACCTTAGACCTCAGGACGGGTTTGTGATGTCACAGAGAACACTAAGTCGAGCTTCGTCAGGATCCTGTCGCCTACATGATGAGTCTTATGAAGACTTCGCATCGCTCCGACCGCTCCGAGAGCCGGAGGTGCCGATTGGTAGGCTGAATTTCCGCCCTTGCAGTTGCGCATCTGCCAGGTCATCTGAAGAGGCTCTTTGCTGGGGACGCGCAGTCAGCCGTTTCCTTGGGTGCGATCTGCCCGCTGGCAGGTTCCAGAAGCTCGCAGTGATCCAGGACCAAGTGTTGCTCGGCAAGCTCCCAAAGTTTGCGCGCTAGTGGAGCTGTTCTAAGACTCTAACATCAAGAGCAACAATGGGAAAAGCACCAACGCTGGAAACAGGTACTACCACAAGCAGAGATGCAGAGACAGAGAGGCAAGAACAATTGACAAGGAAAGACACAAAGAAAAAATAACATATCAAAAGTTGCAAGAAAGGAAGGAAGGAAGGAAAAACAACAAATGAAAGGCATGAAAGTACCAAGAAAGCAAGGAAGCAGCAAGCACGAAGGGAAGACGAAAACGGGAAGAGAGGTGGACACCCAGAGGACAGAGCAGGGAAGCAAGCGAAGACTACAACGTTTGGCTACTACTTCGGCAAATAAACTTCAAGGGTGCTGTTCATCTTGAGCAACCGAATTATGGGCCTTGTTGCTTGCATTCCGAGCGTTGCTCTGGAAACCTCTTCGGAAGTAACTGAGTTTCACACTGGTACCGAAGCCCACCTGTCCCAAACGTTGCCTAACAAACCTGCTTTGCATTCAAACAAGTAGGTTGG